TTTTTTTTTTTTTGAAATTTCTCAGCCTTGTCACATTTTGCTATCGAGACGTAATACGTAGCATCACTTTGTAGGACCTTACCAATTCCAGCCGAAGTACAAGAATTGGCAGACAAGCATGATTTTGAGGTCAGTGCGTACGTAATAAATGCTTACGAGGAGCAAACTCGGATTCCTCACAAGGTAAAAATTTGTTTTTACTTTGTATTTTTGTGCTTTGAGTTATGTTTCAGTAAAGTAATCTAGGTTCGTATTGCGGCTATTCAAAACGCGATTGTAAAGAGTACCACTGATCCCGTGCAACAGCAAAGACAGGCGATACATGACCGTGTTAAACTAATGATTGAAGCCGCCGCAGGCTGTGGTGCAAACATTATTTGTATGCAAGAAACGTGGAGTAAGTTATTCCCTCTCTGCAGTCAGGGCAGTCTTTTAGCTCATTTGCATAGTAATGTTTGTTTTCTTCAAAGAGTCTGATTCTTCTTTTTGTCAAGAGAATATGGTTTTTTCAGCCATGCCATTTGCATTCTGCACTCGCGAGCGTTTGCCCTGGACGGAATTTGCCGAATCAGTAGAGCACGGCCCAACAACTCGACTTATGCAAAAGGTCTGTACGTCACTGATATTTTCTGATTTTCAAACCCAATTTGATCTTGACTTTGTGCTAGGTTGCAACCTTCACTTTTTGTAACATCGCTTTTTCCTTTTACGAATTCTTCATATTTAAACCACGCCTTCTGATTTAAGCTTGCCCGTGAATACGGCGTAGTCATTATTTCACCCATACTTGAACGTGATGAGGATCGCGATGATGTTATCTGGAATGCAGCTGTTGTTATATCTCAAACTGGGCATGTTATTGGCAAGTCAAGGAAAAATCATATTCCACGAGTAGGAGATTTTAATGAGGTAAATGAGTTATAAGATTGGAGTGTTGATATGAGTTTAGCCGTACAATATTTAACAATCGATTTTCAACCTTTTTTTGAAAACTGAAATTTGTTCTGTATAAGGTTCAGTCTGAAATGCATCTGTGGTTTTCTTTCAGTCGGCTTACTACATGGAGTCAACCTTGGGGCATCCAGTTTTTGAAACTGCATTTGGTAATCATAGTGAAAAAAATTATAGCTCTGTAAAGTCATACAAGGAACAGTCTCTTTTGCTGCTGTCTGTGTGATGATTTCGGATTCCTTAACAGTATGCAGAGAATGCAAGAAAGCCTCCTTTGATTACAGGTCGAATTGCCGTAAATATTTGCTATGGACGTCACCATCCTCAAAATTGGATGATGTATGCCCTTAATGGAGCAGAAATTATATTCAATCCCTCAGCAACCACTAGTGGACTTAGGTATTCTAGTGCTTTAGTAATTCACTTTGTTGCAATAATTGAACTACTGAGTTATAAGCTGCGCCTTCATGTTTTCAAGTTTTTTTCATTCTTATTTTCGTTCTCACTATATTTTTTACAGCGAACCTTTATGGAGGATTGAAGCAAGAAATGCTGCGATAGCCAACCATGTTTATACAGTCGCCATCAACCGTGTTGGTACTGAGGTTTTTGAACATGAATTTACCAGCGGTGACAGTAGACCAGGCATGTCGTTTGAGTAACGTAATTTTTTAAACGGTTTTAGTTCGATGTTTTTTAAGAACTTCTTTCTCTTAAAATAACTTTTTGGCCCCTTTCAGCGCACAAGGAATTCGGACCCTTCTTTGGGAGTTCCTATGTTGCAGCGCCAGATGGTTCTCGTACTCCAGTGAGATCGAGCTTTTAAGTTTGTCTGTCAGGCTTAGCGTTGAATTGATCTTTTGCTTTTTAGAGTTTATCGCGCCTTCGTGATGGTGTTTTAGTTGCAGAAATTGATCTCAATCTGAATCGACAGACTAAAGATATTTGGGGGTTTAAGGTTGGTTCTCATTTTTGAAAAGTATTTAGTTTGCTTGCGTAACGACTAGATCGACTATAATTTTCCTTTTTTTAGTAATTTGAGTGACCAAAGATATTTAGATGACTCAAAGACTAGAATTGTATTCAAAGGAGTTGGCTGAGGCTGCTGATCCGTATTACAAACCTCACATCATTCGCGAAGTTTGATAATGGTTTTTTCAAGTGTGTGTTCGCTGAGGAAGCTATTTGTCAATAGATATTTAAGATGTATTAAGATTTATTTGGTTGTTTTTGTTACCGTCGTTTAACCATTCATCCTCAAAATACTTCTAATTTTTTGTTGTGTGTGGTGTCTGTTTGTTCTCGGCTATTATGGTCTGGCAGTTTTTTGCTGTTTAAGTGGTATCAAATGAAGAGCTGTTGTGGTGTTGTTGGTAGAGTAGTGCATTCAATTCTAATTAAAAGTCTCTTTTTTTGAAACGTGAAGGACGACAGTCATGCGATATGGATCAACTGCAACGAGGTATCTGGTAGTTTTACTGTTGTTTAGCCAGTATCAATTCTTCTGTACTCCCTAAGAAACTTGAATTAGGGAATGATATCCGTAGTTTTGGGATTGGTTTTATGGGTGTGCTAAATTTTATATTAACAGATAGTTTGTTGAAAAGATGCTTCTAAAGTGCAAACATTAGCGGCTTTAAGCGTTGAGCAAAATGCGTTCCACTGCATGTTTAAACCTGCAGTTGTCAGTTAGTTGATTAGCTGAAGTCTGATCCTTAACGTCAGTGTCTGGTTGTACTATCCGTACTTTACCAGAGGTGTAAGGCTGTCCTTGTGATTTCCTGAAAGTACGCTGTTGTTTTATATTTTTTTATTTTCTGAAATTTAAGAGTTTTCTAATCTGCTTAATTAAAGCGAAAAAAAGGAAAATAAAACGCTTTGCTTTATCGTTCATCACTTTTGAGACAGATTTTAATACCCAAGTCAGTACAAAGAAGTCTTCTCTTTTTCCTGATAGAATAACATTATGAAGGAGGGTTAAGTAAGGTGGGCCCTATCCAATTATTAATTTCAGTGGTATTTAGGCAGAGTAGAGGGTGATATTGGGTGTTGCACTTCTGATTGGTGTTCTAGAGAGAAGTCGCTAATATAGTGAACTCTACTCTACATGCAGTGATTCAGCGTGAATGTTGAACTGTATCGTGTCCTCTAAAATCATTAGTTTCAAAACAAGAGGCTAATAATGTCAATATTATGCAGTAATACACTGATGTTAGTCAAACTGACAAGCATGACTGTAGGCAGCGAAAGCAAATCAGTTTTTACTGAGCAGAACAACGGAAAGGGCTTAGAGTTTGGCAGCATATGTTTTACAACTGGCAGCAACAAATGCTGACCACTGACCAATATGCGTATGCGGTTAACAACGTTAGAGGCCGTGCTTAAAACGGAATGTCTCGTTTTTTAATTAATGTTTTTAAAATTTTTTTTCAATTTGCTGAATTTCGAGCAAACGGAAGAATTGAAAATTTTATAATTCAGCAAATCTTGTTTTCTTCCCCTGTGTAGAAACAATATAAAATTTTCGAAAGTGCCTATTCCTCGTTAAGTTTCTAACCTCGAGTATTCAAAATAAAAAACAACAAGATTACTAGTATGTTTCATAAAAATTCTCTTTTCTGAAGTGTAAGACGTTGCGTCGATTGCTTAAAATTTTTAAAGCAGCAGTCGAAATAAATTTTATTTGGCGTTGGAGCCTTTGCAGGTATTGTGTTAACTCTTATAGATAAATGAAACTTGCGTTATTATTGGTAAGCATTTTCGTTCAACGCACTGCTGTTGCCACTGAACAGTGTAATCGCCGACTATATGAAACAAACAACGAAAAGACGCCAGGAAACAATGGCTTTGTTATCGAAATTTCTAGTGCTACTATAGCATCGGAGGATAGTGCAACGAGCTATCTGCCTGGAGACAAGTACACTGGTATTTTATATTTTCTGAACTTACTTTTTTTGCTTTTTGCTTCAATTATCTCTAACTACACGGTCCTGCCTCTGTTCACCTGAATGCTGTCACAATTAGAAGACAAATGGCTTCTATCTTTGGCTATACTGCGTATTATTATCGGCTGTTTCAGTTAAGCTAAGAGGATGGCAAACCAAGTATACCGTCACAACATTTCGCGGCTTTGGAATATATGCGCAGTTTGAGGACAACAGACCAGCGGGTAAATTTGAAGTAAGGAAATCTACAACTATTATATAAAGCGTACTTTGTTTCTGGTACTTGCAAATGGTTTCTGTGAAAACTTTTAGCTTTTTGACACGGATAGTGATGCTCGAATAGCCCCGAGTTGTCGCAGAGCAGGCGTTTCACACGCAAATCTGCGGCCGAAAACCTCGGCTCACGTCCTTTGGCGTGCTCCATTCAGTTCAGATGCTGGCTGTGTCATTTTCCGAGCTACTGTGATAACTTCAAAGCAGACCTGGTATGCTGACGATGGGCCTTTAACCAAAAAGTTTTGTTTGCAAGGTATTTCGTAATTTTCAAGGAATCTTTCATGCCTTTTTGCGATTTCTGGATTTCTTACCGTAAAATTTTCACACTTTTGTGCAAGCTGACCTAGGTTAATTTTTAAGGCTGTTAAACTGAAGTTTTCATCTACTTTAATTAAGTAAAATTTTTTTTCAAATAAAGAGTACTTTAGCACTGAGTACCTTAGCACTAAGTATGTAAATTATAAGCAGAAATTAGCAGATATATAGAATAATTTGGAGTGATATTAGCTAAAAGCATAGAACGACGAAACTGCTAACAGGTCAGCAGTGTTTTAGCAATTAAAATTTTCTTTCCAGAAGGGTATAAAAAAGTTGAAGTGGTTGACGACCCAAATGTTCCGTGTTGTGCTTGCGACGAAGCAAAGTATGATTTAGAATTCACTGGCTTGTGGTCTAAAGAAACTCACCCTAAAGACTATCCATCATGTAAGTATAAAAATTGTTGCCTCACTTTTTATAGATGTTTTAAAATACCAAATAGATTCTAATTTTGCAGATATTCTTTTGCTGCATCATCTACACGTCATTGTAGGTTTTTTCAATAATTTGGTCTAAAATTCTAAACTTTCCAGTAGAACATCTGACACACTTCACGGATATGTTGGGTGCCAGTCACAGCAACAACTACACAATGTGGAAGTTCGGGACGATTGCAACTGATGGGCTGAAAGAAATTGCGGAGTGGGGCAACACATATAAGGGTGAACAGGAGATGAAAGCTAACGTACTTGATCACTTTTTAAGAAAAGAAATAATTTTTTTGCGATCAGTAGTAACATCGCTCCTAAATGAGTGGTTACTTAAGTGATGATTTCATTGTACTCCTGTCGAATCTGTAGTTTATATATGCCTCGTAAGTGCTACTTTTTATTTGTTTTTTTTTTTTGCTCTTATTCTAGGCGACTGAAATAAGAACATTGATGAAAATCAAGGGTTTATGGTATCCGGAGGTTCAAGGGAAAACTCGAAGTACGTTTCAGGTTAACAGGTGACAAACTGTTCCCTTTCCGCTGGCTTTGTTTATTGTTACAAATATTCTCGTAGCTTTTTCAGAACTTCTTGTGCTAATATTGGCTTTAGAACACCAAGCCTATTGGTGCATTGGTTTGCCCCAAAATAGACAGTTTTATAGTTGAAGGAATAAGAAAAAGTATTCCAAAGCGAGAATTTATCGCAATTTTAGGTATCACCATCTTGTTTCGCTAGCAGCTATGTTCGGACCTTCACCAGATTGGTGTGTAGGAGTATCGTCAATTAACCTGTGTCTTCCTGACTGCACTTGGGCGAAAGAAAGAGTTTTTGAACTACTGCCGTTCGACGCTGGTACGGACAATGGACCATCGTATATGGTATTGAAGAAAACGTTTTTTTAGCTACAGTTTTTGTTTTTAATTGAATTTTATGGGAAGAATATTGTATTCATTTTAGTCTCCAAATAATCCTGCGGACCCACGAGTGCCTGTACATCCAATAACAACAAAACTAGACAAGTTATCTCCGTTTTACAATGAAGAAAGCGATGTCATACCTCCACTGGCTAAGCTTGTACTAACTGTTAAGGAGGTCACCAAGTCAGAATGTAAAACAATTGAGCATTATAAGAAAATCGCATTCAATGCTACAAATACGAGCGAAGATGAGGAGTACAAAGATCGTAGTAAATATTTCCTCATTTTATTAATAGTTAAAATAAAATTTAGTTCATTTTGAAATTTTAAGTCTACTATGCTTTGTAAAAAATTAAGGAGAATGCATGGTTACAACTTGGGAACCGTGGTCATTGTGTTCTGCAACGTGCGGTAAGGGTATCCGTATGAGATCTAGGGTTTATGTTTTTCCAATTAAAGCACAAATGTTTCACTGTCATAGACAAGTGATTGAACGACAGTTTTGTAATGCAGCTATATCTGAATGCAAAGGTAAGTTCACTTCTCACACTGAATTTTATTGTATATTAAGTAAACAGTGAGGCATTAGAAAGCATCTATTCGTGGCAAAATGCTGTTACTAATGCTTTTTGCAAACACTCGTTGCTTTCGTATGTTAATTCAGAGCAGTTAAATCGACAGAAAATAATGTCATTTGGTATGTATATAACTGACTAAAATTTAGCTCAAAGTTTAATTCACTTGAAGATTCCGATGCTTTCAACTCTAAATGTGCTGTCAGTAACTGGAATCCCTGGTCTGATTGTTCGGTTACATGCGGAGAGGGTGTAAGAAGCCGTACGAGGAATTTCAAAGAAACTACTTCAGATAAAAGCATTTGTCCAAATGTCAACCTTACACAGTCTGAGAAATGTGTAGGTCAGTTGTTGTAGCCCACTTTGAAAAGATATTGTGTTTTTGAAACGATAGAGTCTGTTTAGGAGAAAACGGAGAGGACTGTTTAGTAACGCCTGATCCACTCTGTAAGGCCACCTTATGGAGCGAGTGGTCTCCATGCAGTGCATCTTGTGGTGATGGCGTACGAGTAAGAACTCGATTGTTGTATTACACCGAACATGAGCAAAGATGCTCGCATATTAGTCTCATAGAAAAAGATGTCTGTCAGTTACAGTCTTGTAGAAGGCTTTTGGGTGCTCATATGAAAGGTGGGTTTATTAAAGTTGTCGCTGTAAGCCTATTTCTTAAGATGACAGCGTTTAATGGGTCATCAATGGTGTAACAACAGTTGTTTAATTTTTGTTTAATTTACATAATTTGAAGTATTATATAATTGTTTATTTGCTTATGTACGCCTGATCAATTTGTTTTAGAAATTTGTGAGGAAGAAAAATTAGACGGTCAATGTGCAGGGAAATTTCCGAGATATTGGTATAATTCAAGGAAGAAGCGTTGCGAGCGATTTATATATACCGGCTGTAAAGGCAATCGTAATCAATTTGAGACGGAAGAGGAGTGTAAAAGAATTTGTGTTCCTGGTTACGAGGCTGTTAACAAAGAAATTGGTTAATTGTATTTAAGGTCTTAATAACAGTGTAATAACAGTTTTCAAAAGCATAGCATACACTTACTGTTCAAAGGATATCTGCGCGAATGGAATTTAAGGATAATACACTTAGTTTTCTCTGTTATGTCAGATGTAAGTCTAATTTAGCATGATTTCCAGTACCCGGTCACCAGCTGATTAACGAATTTGGTGTTGAAGAAGTTGAAGATGGCGGAGAGAAGGTGGATTGCGTTGTTTCTGAATGGACACCATGGGGTAACTGTTCAGTTACCTGTGGTGTAGGTAAACGACACCGTTCGCGACAAATTGAGGTAACTATTAAGTTTTTGCTGGTAATACTATTCATACAGTAGTAGATACATGTAAAATTAAGAAGTAGCATGAGTAAAAACCTGAGATTTTCGGGTAAGCGGTTATATCAAGAGCAGTTTTCTGTTATCAGAACGCCATAACTTTTTTAGATATTTCCTCGAAATGGTGGAAAAGCTTGCCCAGAACACTTGGTTCAGGCTGTTCGATGTGAACTCAAGACATGTGGTATTCAGCTTATAGACTTTATCTCTACACTGCTAGGCATTAGAAGTTTAACGCCATAGTGTTAATTTATCAGTTCACTGTTACAGCAGTTGAAAAGTGTCAACTCGGTCAATGGTCACCATGGTCTCCATGTCCGACGCCCTGCGGAGGTGGTAAACAGCACAGAAGACGAACAGTCATAAAACCGCGAAATTTTGTCGATGACGGTAGTGATCCGATTTGCAGTGCTCCAGAAACTGCTACAAGATTCTGTCCAGTAACGTGTTAGGGTGGATACATCTTATACCACTAGCCAAAAGAGCATTTTTTTGCTCAGTGACGTTTAGGTGCTTTATATTTATATATTTAAATCGTTTAAGAAAAGAGTAAAAAACAGTAAAGCTATTAACTTCAACACATTTTCTCTTGTTTCTTTTTTTATTTTAAGGGAAATTTATCTAATCATTGTTAATCCACGGATAAAATGTAGATTTTATTGAGAATATTTACTGTTATCTGGAAGAAATCCTATCATATCAATGCAAATAGTAGGTGCTGAGGTTTCACTCAAACATTGAAACTGCGGGCATTTATGTATATAAAAGACTATCTGGCAGTTGTTAGTTTTATCACTATTAACACTTTTCATTTTTTATCTTGAAAAGTAGTGACATAAAGAGGGACTTTCAGTTTATAAAGAAAAAATGTTGTAGCGTAACTGTGTTGTGGAGCGAACCTCGCAGACATTTTTTTAATCTTTTCGCAGTAATTGCTGTGACGTATTTAGAGAATGAAAATTTTTAGGAAATAAGAAATGGACTTTTATCTTTATTTTTTTCTAGTTTATTACAAAAGATTTCAAAAAAAGATTTTGAAGGTTCGACGAATCTGCTGTTTTAAATAGTTCCTCTTTTCGTTATTTATTGTGGCACTGTATTAAAGCACTGAAATAAACAACTAGCTTTGTGTTTCTAGATTATTAGGTACCGAAAACGCGCAGTTCACCAGGTTCAAGTCTCGATACACTTGTTTTCTTGCTTTTCTTCTCTTCAAATGATGATGATGACTCATCAATAAAAGGATAGTTTTCAGAAAAACCAACAGGAATCAGAAATCGACTCCGTCGTTCACCAATGTAGAACCACTGAAAGAATGCTGTTCAATTTAGCAGTGATAGATTACTTAGTAACCGATAGTGATTCTTTTGCATTCCCAAAAGGGCTCACTATATTGGGACTAAATTCATTAACTTTTACTATATGGTATAACTACTGTGTGCTTGTTTTTTTCTGCGGATTTAAAATTAAGTGAAAAGTCAAAAAGCGGCAAAAACCGTTTCGAAAAAAAAATTTAGCCCAACAAAAAATAATCAAATTTTTTACCACTGAAATTGCTACTGCAGCACCAACAAAATATCCAAAAATCACGTCTGAACGGTGATGCATATTATCAATAATTCTTGTATAGCCGACATACAATGATAATCCAATAATTGCTGTTTGTATAACATGCCGAACTACAATCAGATAGCTGTTTAAGGGCAACCGGTAGTATAAATATATCTGAAAACTGAAAATTATTTTCTTAAATCAATAACACTAACACATGAATTATTTGTCACAATTAACCTCACCGATACTGCGGTAGCAAAAATTTTACTGTCCTCATCCTTTTTTTACTTTAGTTTTTATTTCGTTTAGCAAAAGTTCATTTATTTTCTACTTTTCAAACAAAATTAGTTCATTTTTTTATACACTTTCGGCTTTCTCTGGTGGTTTAATATGTGCTAAATCTACTAAATCACGGGGAAGACGAGGGAACGTACGGAGAGAAAGACGGCTGCTGTCATTGAATGGGCAGCATGACCGCTAAAGAACGACTTTCTAGCTTCTAGAATGCCGTCGACATTTGTACCAGTACATTCATAGTTTTCTATAAAAGTCGAATTTTCGCAGAGTGTTCTATCAAATTCTGGTTGACAGACTTCAATGAAAAATGGTCTTAATCGTCCCACAGCGTATTTACAGCCGTCAGTCAACATCAGCGTTACTAGTAGTGACAATAAAGTATACCCTAAAATATTAACTTTGTTAAAAGGTTCAGTCTTTTTAATTTTACACTTTTATACATTTATACTTTATATGAACAGTTCGTTTGCAGGAACAATGATTAAGTAGTTTCTTTTGACCAAAACTTCAGTTGCTTTTCCAGAAAAAGAGAAATATGCTTTTCCCTTTAATGTTTTTTATTTACAATGTACAAATCTTCAACCTCAGTCGGTATCGAAAAAAAAGCAGCAGAAAAGTCGTTTTTTTTCATCTTTACTGTTTACCAAGAATAGTCGCTGAATTAGTCAAAATATTCTTCTTTTCTTGGCAATTTTCTGCATAATAAAGCTGAATTAACTAAGAAATAAAATTGCTTTTTTTGAGTTGAGGTATAAATAAACAGATTTTTCTGCCAAAAATTATTGTTTTCACTCAGTTTGGCTTCTGCAAATTATTTTTACTTTGTTTTTTTTTAAACATTGTTCTAAACGTTTTTGACGTTTTGTGAAATAAATGCACGAAACACCTCTTAGTTTGATTTTTTCAATTTTTTTTTAGCAGCAGCTTTGTTATATAGAATAATAAGTTAAACAGAAGCGAAACGTATGCGTAGGTATCCCGAACAGTTTGATCCTATAAAAGAAGGCAAAAAAAGTCAATTGGCCTCTTTTTAAATACAATAACTTTTAAACAGAGGTATATATTTGTTGTTTACCGTAATATTTGAAGAAGTATGGAACTATTTGATTTATTCGTAGACCTCTATATTTGAAAATCTCTCTGAATGAACATAGACGGATTTTTTCACCAATTAAAATCTGTAACTGATCAAAGAGTAATAAATTTGATAAAAGGTAATAGAGTATCAATAAATTTTTTTT